AAGAAACAATGCTTCGACTTTTCAAGCGAGGAAAACAAGCACAACCACAAAAATAAATAAATCGCATCCAGGGCATACCTATTGGGTATTTTTTTTTATTCAAGAAGCTCTCGGAGGATGAGAGGGAAAATATGACCTATGCATACAACAGTTCCCAGTCCTGCCAAACAAAGGGTCGCAAAAAGGAGACCCACCGACAAATCTCGAGTTGACCTACGAGTTAGCGCGGAGTAATAAAGGACCGATAGATATGAACATCCCCCCCCCGCGCGCACTATAATCTCCAGCGAGGCAAAGTTTCGTTTGTCCCAGCAAAGCACCCTCTCGCGTGATCTCGGCATTGGACTTGTTTAATCCAATATCATATATACTCGAATAGAATGATGCATTCAGCCCCAGGGCTTAGAACATTTTATGCAATTTCCCCGACATGAGGGACATTGCATGCATCATAACTCTTTTTGCAGAAAACTAGCGGACCCAAGTCGATCCTATCATAGCTAAGCCTACCAACTCGGAACTTGGCCACCCGGGAAAAGGTCTTTTTTCGGGGTCCTGGGTGGGCTGAATACCCTCCCCTGGTGATGTCCTCAGCTATGTGATATCATGCAATATCGGCTTATGTGTGTCCCATCTGCGACAGCGATGGGGTCATCGTTGGGGTTTGGGAATAATGAACGTGATCCGCATTTCGATATTTGATATGATATTCTCCCCCGCAGCTCTGTAACCTTTCAAGCATGATATAGGAGCACCCCGACATCCGGATGGCAAGAATCCAATGAACCTTTTCCCGCACGAATGGGTACCGGTAACTTAATCCAGAACACGGGTTCGGGTTCTCGCTCAAAGAGATTTGTGACCGGCAAATGTTCGTGGGGATAGCGAGGTAGGATACCTCGATCATGGAGAACCCGGATGGAGGGGTGTGAAAGCACATTGATCAATTTTACCTTAAGGGCATTGACCAAGTTTATTTTTTGAGCTAAATCAAAGCAAAAGCGTAAGGTTCCTCACGGTCTAGTTGGCGAGGACAGTCTGATAACGAATTTTCCCGTAAAGGGAGTGATCGGTGGCGATGAGACCGAATTTCTCGAAAAAAGTTTCTTATCAGATCGTCATCAGACTGTTCTCGCCGTCGGACCGTAAAGGCTCTTTAGGTGTTGTCTAATTTACGGTAGGGGTGCGATGCTGAAGATCGCAATACCGGTTTCCCTAAAACACTGGTATGTATCTTGAGTATGATATATGCTAAATATCCTACAGTATTCTAACCCAAAACAAACAATCTACCCACCCCATGCCCCAAAACGAAATATTACATATGCAAAAGAACCTAATTGGCGGAGTCTGACCAGCCGCATTTTAACAGAAATCAGTACGGTAGGCACTGATGATGACACCAACCCACTTAACAGAATGATATGAGGCAAAGTGTTTAGTAGAAGACCAGTGTGTAGCCCGCCGCAGTACTTGACGCCAGCTCGAATTTGCGATGAGACTCCAAAGCACGATAGATTGAGTTGAAATTGGTCGGTGACATCACTCCCCCGCCATCCAATTAAATCAGCTATGTAAAGTGCGACGCATTGGCCAATTAGAATAGGTTCATTACAACTTCCCCAAAAATCTGGGTCAGCATATTTCTGGATACCACTACCCTATCTACCCCAGGCTCGCCGTTACACTTTGGGTATTTCTTTTTGTTGTCAGCTGGATGCAACACATTATACCAAAGTGAAGGCTTCAAACAAAACACTATGATAAAGTTACTAACAAGGTCCAATGTGAAGGTTTGTTATTGCAACCTGAGGCGCCCCTCCTTGGCACGCGAGAACCCCAATGGTGGAACCATACTGTGGTAGGCATAATGATCCAAATTTTCCTTCCCCAGAAAAGGAGCTCAAAAAAAGCACGAAAAGGTGTCGTTATCCCTCCACAAGACATAAAAACAAAATAATCCCAGATCTTACCATAGGAGGTACTTGTAACTCGAACAACATGGCACAAGGCTTCCCCGTAGTGACTCTTTCCTGAGGCGTGTTCCCCCCCCCTTTTTTTCCAGAAACCCCCCATTAACTACAGTACCGGTAGGTCTCTGGCAAATTGCAATACTTCCGTCTCACCCACACCCATCCATCTATTTCAAGCCAACTCCAACGTGGGGTAATAATTCCCCCGAGTGATTCCGAGTGACCTCATGTCACACAACTCTCATTGGCAGAGAATTAAGAGTACAAGACCACCGGTGCACCACCTAGTAACCTTTTAGTATCAATACCGTGCGATCCCCCGCAATTCGCTATCTCCGGTTGACCTCTAATTTCCAGATTCGGGGAGAAAGGCTCCTGGAAGCGGGGTAGACATAATACTACTACCGGTACCTGTGCAAGTATACCCGCCATTCCGGCAACCTATCAAGCTAAACTCACTATGTGCTGACGCGGCTATCTCCGCTAATATCCCAACCCAAGAGATCCCTCGGTATCGTGCTCTTGCTCAGGAATCTCATAGGTTCTCCAGACACGCTGGATATCTTTGAAATTCGCGAATACCGGACGTGTTCGTAGAGGCGCCATAAAACCCTCCGTCAGAAAGACTTGTGGAACGAGAAAAGTTGGGGGAACAAAAACGGTCCAGGTCTCCCTAAAGTTTCCCAGGTCCCCATCACGGCATTGCCGTAAGAGCTCGAACAAATAGACCATACGATATGATAGGTCGTCCAAGGTTTTCCCCTCTGGAAAAGGGGCGAAGAACATCGTGCCTACCGCCGGATATGTACTGTGCTAGGGGGGCACAATAATAGTGCAACACCTCACAACGGATATATAAAAACATTGAATTTGAATGCCTAAAAGTTGTTCAAATGTTGATCTTTTTGGATAAGAAATGCCGGCAAGCGTTGTTAGGACGTTGCAGGGTGTAAGGTGTCGCACTATTGAATTTTTTGTAAACTCCTGGTACTGTCCTGTAAGTTACACCAAAAAACCTATGATACTCTGGGAGACGGACATAAAAGAGAGAAAGAGAGAGAGAGAAAATAACAAGCCTTTGCTTGGAAAAGCAACTTCAACGTCCCATCCCAGCTCCCCGGGTACGAGTATGACTAGGCTGGGCCGTGATCACTAAAGAATCATTATTGGTTTCCAGGGTCAGCTGTTGGCCTTTGGGGTTACTCAAGCAAAACGTCCCTCAGGGGCAAAGCTCTGCCTCACGTGCCGGTAGTACGATATATCTTTTCCCCTTTATCAACCCCGCGTGTGACTACCTATAAAAGCACAAGTACCGCACTCGAGTACAGACCTCGGTAGAAGATTAACCTAAATTAGTTGTTTACCAACCCTGTGGTGGTGGGTACTTGCGTTTATAACAGTACCGGCACACTTATTCGGACATTGTGACGACAAAAGAATTCAGCCTTCGAAAGTCACGATAGTTGCGGATCTTTGGCCTCCCTAAGTTACAGTAACCATAGATGACCCTACATAAGAGATCAGAGCCGGTCATTGTCAAGGTGTCTTAGATATCGCAAGGCACACCTTGCGAGATGGCGCCAACAAAACATTTCCCGTATCATCCCCGGCCCACCGTAAAAGCCCGATGTCGTCCAAAATCCCTTTCTCTGGAAAGGGGGCAAAAAGCACGTCAGAAACACAGGCCCCTTTCGCCCTCCTCCATAGAAGGAAAAAAAAAAAATTCGACCCTACCGAGAGAGGAAAGCCCAACGACATAGCCCAAGATTCAGTCATTCGAGTTTTTTGGTATGCGATACTGTTTCGGGATTGTGTAGCACCTCGTATCGTCAATTTCCAATTCGAGCATCCCCTTGAGTGGCGCATGAACTCGAAGGAGTGCTGTCACTAGTGCAGGAATTCTCGATAAAAGCACCCCACAGATAAGCTCCCATTGCGAATCACTGTGGCGAGGAACCAACGGGATATCAGGGGAGTGAGGTTAAGGTTTTCTCGGAGAGCCGCGAGGATCTCGTATCATACCACCCCTGTCAGTGTTGGAGGCTTAGATGACTAAGCTACTGCTGCAGCATTCTTCCATGATGATCAGCGTAGGTTCTGTACTGAACCATTGGCCGCTCAGCCGGGCGGCGTCATATCATACCCTCAGCGAGGCTTAGAAAATACAGGTACGATATCATATTTGGCAGGTAGATTTGGTTGATCCCCACCAAAAATGGGCCAAGCCTCGTTGAGGGTATGATGCCGCCTCGCTGAGCGGCAACATGGTCTAAGTATAATCATAACCAATCCCGGCTATGCTCTAAAATTTGCGCACCTGCGAGCTTTCACCAGGATAAAGGTCGCGAAAGAACTCGCTGGGGCAAAAGGTTGCGGAGAGCCCCCGCTCAACCGGCACCCGGGACGCCGAACCCTACTCTATGCTGTGCTGCAAAGTGGTCGTACAAGTAGGGGTATGAGTACAGTACAGTACCGTACTCGTACAAACTACCGGTATTCAATGGCCCCGTCGATCCAGCACGGCCCCGTATCACATACCGCTAGCCCTCCGAACCTGCCCACAACCCTGAGACCGCGAACACATTCCACTCTCATTTGATTTCACTTCCACTGCCCAATCAAGACCCAAAATAGACCCCCTAATTTCTGCCAAGCGGCGAGGCAGCCCAGCATTCTTGTGGAGTCTTTTATCCAATTCACGCTCCTAGGTTGCCCACCCCTCATTGCGACCTAACCTCCCCAATGAAGTGAGGAGATCGAAACAACCCTGCTCAGCCGCGGGGAGCGGAGCAACGTCCTCCCTGCCGTCTGCACCTAACAAACTCCCTTGGCCCTATTGTATGAAGGTGAGTAACTTAGCCGATAATCTTAAAAAAGAAAACATGAGGAAGGCGGATTGGCCACTGCAATGATTAAGTGTGATTCGGGCGGCACTTCAACAAGGTTGGAAGCACTATATATTCCTCCTCCCCTCCCCGCACTCGATTTGTTCGCTCACCATCAGTCTTCATCAGAATACCAGAAAAAATGTCAGAAAACAAATTCAGAGTTGGTCTTTTCGACTGCTTCGCCGATATGAAGCAATGTACGTACCTTCCAGCCCCAGGACCCGACTCGTTGCTAATATCACAGGCTTAATCGGGTGCTGCATCCCCGGTTTAAGCTACTCGCAAACCGATTACCGTCTCTCCACAAACCCTTCTACGCTCGAAGGCCATGAGTTGATGAACGCTACCTCAGTTGGGGCTTGTGGTCTCTTTTACTTTTGCGGTTGCGTAGGATGTACGTCCCCTCTCCACCTGGGCCGTGCCTTCCGCTAATGAGTCGTAGTTGTTCTTCCATATCTTCATCGACAGAAAATTCGAGAGAGGTACAACATTGCGGGTAATAACCTAAGTGATTGTTGCACAGCCTACTGGTGCGCCGGATGCTCTTTGATTCAAAATGAGAAAGAGGTTAGAATCGACACCTCTAACCCTTCAGATCTGGCAGGAATACTGATTCTTGTAGGTTATCTTGAGAGAGAGCGAAGCATCAGGTAATGTCACTGAGCAGCCAAAGGCTCCGGAAGCGATGACATATCCTGCTAAATGAGCGTGCTTATGATTCGTGTTAACTTAATACTTTGTATGATTTTGGATTTCTTAGGTCAGGGGAGACGTTTTTAATGGGAATATAATTACCTTTCTGAACTTGATACATGGATGCTCTAGCATAACCGAAGGGAGAGTTTAGCTCTCCCAAACTTTTCTAATTATTCTGGGCCATTAGTAGCAAATAAGCCAGCTAGTGCCGCCTGACGGGATATCATACTCCCCCATTAATTCATTCGCACCTCGCTCAAGGGCAAGCTACAGGGGCACAGGGCCTTATCACCCTACTACACTTTGGAATTGCTCTCGGATGAATTTTCAGTAGAAGGCAATGTTTGGTGCAACCTTGTTCACTGGACTGAGAACGGTTTGTGTTGCTTGTTTAACGAAAGTGTAGTCTACAGTCCCGATAGCGAACCGATGCTATGGTACTTGTATTCATCGCTCCAAAGCAGTGCCCTACTACCCGCCGCCATGTACAGTACTGTACTAGTACAGTACCTGCACCACACACCACGCGGGGTATCATAATATTATCATACCATACTTCCTTTAAGAATGCCGACACCACCAAATGCAGAATACCAACCGTCCAAATTCGCGATACCCAACAGCTCTGGCTTATACTACTACATAATCTGATCAAATGCGAAATCGCGCTAAGCGCTAGGGTGATGAGGGGAACAGAGTGTGGCGCGGTGATAGGGGGAGGCAAACTTTGGGGAATATAACGGTCTCAACTACTCTTCCCCGTTACAGACGCCGG